GGCGGCGGCGAGGGTGGCGGCGGCGAGGGCGGCGGCGGCGAGGGCGGCGGCGGCGAGGGTGGTGGTGGCGAGGGCGGCGACGCGGATGGTGGCGGCGGCGATGGTGGCGGCGGCGAGGGCGGCGGCGGCGAGGGCGGCGGCGGCGAGGGCGGCGGCGGCGAGGGCGGCGGCGGCGAGGGTGGTGGAGGTGGCGGCGGGGCGGGAGGAGGAGGGGGTGGCGGCGGGGCGGAAGGAGGAGGGGGTGGCGGCGGCGGGGCGGGAGGAGGAGGGGGTGGCGGCGGCGGGGCACAGATGCAGACCGGGGCGGTCGCCTGCACCCTCTCCTGCCCTGCAGGCGAGGCGCCGCCGCCGGCACCACCAAAGCTCGAGCGCAATGCCACGTTCGAACTCTCGGTCTTGATGCGCATTATCATCATCATCGCGGGGGAGCGACAGCATGGACGCGCAACGCTGCGCACCTATCCGGACCAGCGCCACGTAGTGCCGGCCTTGACGCCCCGCCGCTGCAGCTGCGGTAGAGAGCTCCGCACACCGCTCATGCGCCGCCCAGGATGCGGGCACCTGGCTGTGTGCGTGCACTCAACTTCCACAAGTGCGCGGGGTGTCGTGGCGTCTGGCGTGTGCGGCGACGAGGCCGCGGTGCAGGTGGGTGTTATATCCTGCGAGGTGCACTCTCTCCCGCCCCCCACCAAGGGAGGTGGGAGGGCCCAACCGGCACCGCGCACCGGCCACCCCGCGGCCGCGCCGCGCGGTCTTATCGCGGCTCTTGCCTCTTCTCTCGCCACTCGCGCACACCCCTGCACACACGTCAGTGCTGTTCTTGATATTACAAAAATTTCGTAGCTTAAAGCTCATGAGATCATTCATGATTCATCGCTCAGACAGTAGAAACACTGTTTTCACTGACTCGATCAAGCACAAGTGCGAAGCGGGTCTGAGGAGAAGCGAGGCGGTCGGAGGGTCGCTGCTCGCTGGCCGGTGTCGATCGAACCTGTCGGACGGTAAGACAGCATTGTGTAGATCCCTGGGCGAGAGGGTGATGAAGATGTCATCTGCAGAGGGTCGTTTGTCGTTTGTTTGTTATTGAGAAGAAAAATATCCTTCGCGCTGTGGGACCCCGTGTTGCATGTCTGAGTGTGTGTGTGAGTGTGTGTGATGGTCACACCCGGTGGGAGGCACCGAGGCGTCGTGGGGACGCTCTTCTGTTCGGTCGACGCTCGTTCGTCCACCGAGGACTCAGTGGTTGTCACCACTTTGTATGCTTTTAATATTAACCTTGCGAACTCGTCCCCCCCGGCAGGGCTATGCAACCGTGACCAGTGTGTGCTGTCTACGCCTGATCCAGGCGTGAAATCTGCCGATGCGTGATCTGTGTGTGGGCCGCTCTGTGAGGGGTCCAGGCATTGTCCGACGGGTAGGGGGTCTGTGCCCGGGCGGTGTCCGGTGCGGAGTCTCTTTCTGATCCCGCCTGTGATGTTGGGTGCGAGGTCGTGGAAGCTTCGATCCCAAGGGGGGGAGCCGATCCCACTCGTAACCAACTCTCAGGGGCAGTAGGTGGGCGAGCTTCAGGCGCGCTCATCTCGATCGTAAAGGCGTCGCTACGCGCGGTGTTCCGCGGGGGGAGCTTCGTCGACGGGTGCGGGACCGTGGCGCAGACAGAGCTGCGGCGATGCCTCCGGCTGCTGCGGCGAGTGGCTTGCTGCTCGCTGCGATGGCGAAAAACTCGTCTCGTCGCACACCAAGGGCTTATGCTCTGGCGAGACGTGAGGCGCATGAGCCCAGGACGGGAGGGCGCATGCGTAACGACGCTGCTAGAGATGCCTTTCGGGGCCCAGAGATAAAACTTCTGATGCCATGCGTGACCTAGTAGTGTCCCCAGCTATGGGCGTGTCCACGTTGGAGCCAGGTGTGGTGTGGACGCGAGAATAGCTCCGCCGTTCATGGAGGCAACCGATGCGAGTCGACTGGTGTGTGTCGTCGTGGTTTCGTATCAAGAATACTCACTCACTCACTTGCATGTCTGACAGTCTGTGTGCGATTTTGGGCCCGGGCTTGTGCGTTTATGTGAACAGGGCCTCCAGGGCTCGCACCTCAACCTCTCACAGACCAGCGCACAGCGCCTTATCTCGCAAATACTTGATTTTTCACGCCGTGTAACAATCGTGATCAAACGGCCCTGCTGTGAGCTGGTACACCAAGAATGGCTTACCACTGCCAGGAGCCACACTGTGGCAAGCTGTGATGAGCGTGGTTTGGCTTGTGCAGCCCATACGGACGTGGTATATATACATATATGCGGCCACGTGTCGGCCGGTTCGGGGCACGAAATCCGGATTTTTCCACGGCGTAACAATCGTTGCTGTAGTGGCGCCAATGGCCGCCTCCCGTCGCGCCATTGGCACCCTAGCCAGCAGTAGCACCGGAGGCAACACCACCAAGCCCACAAGTCACAAGAGTGACGGAGATGCTTGCCACGAGCACCGTGACGCCCGACCCTGTGAGCACCGTGGGCGTATACGGCTGCATACGGTGAGATGATGCACAGCATGGCCAGACGAGGGATGCAATGCTCGCCAGCTGTATGTTAGTGAGGTATATGGATGTGATCAACATGTGTGAATCACAGGTACGCGCAGCAGCGCATGTAGCCGCTGATATCGAAGACAGCGCAAACAGGTCTTTTTGCGCCACGCACCCGATGGCCGTGCTGGTCCAACTGCGTGCACAGGAATGCTATCAGCGCGTCTCCGCCATAACTGGACATGGCAATGAAGCAGCTGAGACGTGATAACACCGGTGCTGGGCCAAGGAGGTGCCGCTCACCGCCGATTGTTACGACTGTCGTCGAAGGCGAGCGGCGGTCGCCGGGCAGCAGCTCGTGGCGATCGTCGATCCGCGAGCTGCCAAGCTTGTCACAGGCCGGCACTGGATCGAGGACGATGGCGCCGCGCGGCTGGAGGCAACGGAGAAAGGCATTGTGGAGCGGCGAGGCGATTGTTACGAATTTCGAGGGTGCGGAAAAATCCGATCGCATGGAAAAATCAAGTATTTGCGAGATACGACGTAATTTCTTCACATAAGCGGCCGCCGCCCTCGGCTTCGAGCTCACCCTCGACCCTCGCGATCTCGCCCGGCGCTCGACGTCGGGTCCTCGGCCGCCATTGCGGTCGGCGCCACCACCTCCTCCCGCCCCCCCCGCAGCCACTGCCGCGCGGCCGCCAATGCGACCGACCCCACCCTCCTTCCCCGACCCCGCCCTAAACGCCCCCGACAGCGAAGCCCGCGCCGCGCGCGGCACCCCCACCGACTCTGCCTCCGACCCCAGGGCCTAGGCGGCCCGCCATGAAATCTAGCCGTGTGTGCTGGCGTCCGGGTCCCAGCGGGTTTTCACGTAACAAGTACACACATAAGGAAGGCTGTGAACAGACGCGGTCCTTGCCCCGTAGCGCGGCGCTCGAGATATATATATGTCCCATCGGGGCGAGGAGCGTCGCTGGCGTGATGAGCAACGGCGCGCCGAGTACGGACGCGAAGGGCGGCGATGGCGGGACGAGTCGCGACGGCGGTCGCGATCGCGCGATGAGCCGCGGCGGGATGAGCCGCGACGGCGCGACGAGCGTTGGCAAGGCGAGCAATGGCGGCACCATGATGGGCGGCATGACGAGCGGCGCGGCTACGACGACTCTTGGTGCAGTGGGCGCGAGCAGCGATGGCACGCTGAGCGATGGCGCGATGAGCAATTGCGAGGCGAACGACGGCCGCATCATGACGGGCGGCACGTCGAGCGGCGCGGCTGCAACGACCGACCAAGCATAGGCGAGCGCGAGCACGACTTGTGCGATCGGCGCGATGATCGGTCCCACGATCCCAGGCGCGACCATGACCGGTGCGACCGCCGCGGCGAGGGGCAGCCTCAGCACAGCGACCGCCGGTCGAGTCCGCCGATGCGTGGTGCGGGATTGCGCGACGAGAGGCACACCTCTGCTGCCGGTGGTCAGCTCAATGCTAAGGAGATCAGTGGCCATATCTCGCATGCCAGCGGCGCCGACGAGCTCCTTGCGCTCTTTGCTGCCCACAGCGCGAGCTTGAACCACATCCACGCTGCGAACCTGTGGAACAAACTGGGCAAGCAGCGCATCGAGCGGCGGCACGAGGAGCGGCTTGAGCAGCTGGTGCGGCGCACGCTCGACCTCGTCCCGTCGTGCAATGCAAGATCACTGGCGAATATAGCTCACGGCGTTGCCAAGTGCGGCCTGCGATCGAGGCTGGTGCACGCGCTCTACGAGGCGGTGGCGGAGGCGGCGGTGCGCGGCGGGCTGGCTGGCTTCAACCCTCAGGAGCTAGCCAACACGGTGTGGGCGTACGCGACGGCGGGCGTGGCTGCGGACGCGCTGTACGCGGCGGTGGCGGAGGCGGCGGTGCGCGGCGGGCTGGCTGGCTTCAAGCCTCAGAACCTGGCCAACACGGTGTGGGCGTATGCGACGGCGGGCGTGGCTGCGGACGCGCTGTACGCGGCGGTGGCGGAGGAGGCGGTGCGCGGCGGGCTGGCTGGCTTCAAGCCTCAGAACCTGGCCAACACGGTGTGGGCGTATGCGACGGCGGGTGTGGCTGCGGACGCGCTGTACGCAGCGGTAGCGGAGGAGGCGGTGCACGGCGGGCTGGCTGGCTTTACGCCTCAGAACCTGGCCAACACGGTGTGGGCGTATGCGACGGCGGGCGTGGCTGCAGACGCGCTGTACGCGGCGGTGGCGGAGGCGGCGGTGCACGGCGGGCTGGCTGGCTTTATGCCTCAGAACCTGGCCAACACGGTGTGGGCGTATGCGACGGCGGGTGTGGCTGCGGACGCGCTGTACGCGGCGGTGGCGGAGGAGGCGGTGCACGGCGGGCTGGCTGGCTTCAAGCCTCAGAACCTGGCCAACACGGTGTGGGCGTTTGCGACGGCGGGCGTGGCTGCGGACGCGCTGTACGCGGCGGTGGCAGAGGAGGCGGTGCGCGGCGGGCTGGCTGGCTTCAACCCTCAGGACCTGGCCAACACGGTGTGGGCGTATGCGACGGCGGGCGTGGCTGCAGACGCGCTGTACGCGGCGGTGGCGGAGGAGGCGGTGCACGGCGGGCTGGCTGGCTTCAAGCCTCAGAATCTGGCCAACACGGTGTGGGCGTATGCGACGGCGGGTGTGGCTGCGGACGCGCTGTACGCGGCGGTGGCGGAGGCGGCGGTGCGGAGCGGGCTGGCTGGCTTCAACCCTCAGGACCTGGCCAACACTGTGTGGGCGTATGCGACGGCGGGCGTGGCTGCGGACGCGCTGTACGCGGCGGTGGCGGAGGAGGCGGTGCGCGGCGGGCTGGCTGGCTTCAAGCCTCAGAACCTGGCCAACACTGTGTGGGCGTATGCGACGGCGGGCGTGGCTGCGGACGCGCT